AGTAACAGCAGAACATTAAACCAAGCATGAGGCTCTTCTGAACATGGGACTTCATGGGACTACACAGGTTGCCACCCGTGAAGCTGGCCCTGAACACAATCGAGTGCATGCACGTGTGTGTGTGTGTGTGTGTGTGTGTTTCCAGGGAAAGCACGCTCAACTGTCAAGGTCATGACCCACAAAAGCTAAGAACCGGCGTAACCGAGGTTAAGCGAGGGTCGCTGCTTCTCACCCCACCTCCGTTCTCTACTCAGACAGCCAGGGGCTCCACATTGCGACCTACGTTGTGGATTAGTGACAGGTTGCATCAGCTGACTTGGGAATAGGGTAGGCCACGTGACTGTGGGAACGGAGAGAAGTGGATGTGTGAGAGACAGAGTCTAGGACATACTGGTGGACTGGATATGGGCTGAAAAGAAAAGAAGGTGTAAAAGCTGGCCCCTGCATTTACGGCTCAAGGAATGAGACCAATCCATGGAGGCGCTGGCTGTTCATGGAGATGGAGAGGAGCTGGAAGAAGAGCGGATGCTGTGTTTTGCTTTGTTGGGTAGCCAAGGGAATCAAGACTCCCATTCTAGCCAGGAAAATGTGTCTAGCAGCTAATAGAGCTGAGAAGGAAGGTGAGAGCGTCGGCGTCGTTGGCACAGGGATGGCATTGAACTCCACTGGAATGGATGAGACCTTTCCGGGCTTCCAGGTGCCAGAGCCCTGGTACTTCAGGCAAATCGCTCAACTCCACTGCCGATTAGGGTCATTTGCAAAATGGAGGCAAGAGTAATACCCTCCTCATAGGATTTCATTAATGAGCTTGTGAAAGGGAAATGCTTGGCAAAGGCCCTGGTAGCTATGAAGGCATCCACTGAGTATCAGCCATCATCATCATCACTGTCGTGTCATTCCTTCTACAAGTATCTAGTGATTCCCCCATTGTGTGTCAGGCGTGGCCGGGAGTGCTCTGGATTTGGATGCATCAATTATTGAGCAGGTCAGAAGGTGATAAGTGCTATCACAGAAGACAATCTAGAGTGGAGTAAGGGGGACATTTGAGCTCAACCTCAGAGATGAGGGAGTGCACCAAGTGGATGTGGGGAAAAAGAGTTCCAGGCAGAGGGAATAGCCAGTGCAAAGACCCTAAGGGGGGTGGTGGGGGGTGAGGTCATGCAGGTAAAGGGTAGGGGAACTTTGTAAAGGAACTCTTCATGGCAGAAGAGGCTGGTCCTCCAACATGGCAAAAACAGGTCTCCAAGAGAATGACGCAGAGGGTTCCCCAACATGGAGGAGAAAATCAGCCCTCCAGTGTGGTGGAGGAAACAGACCTCCAACACAGCAGCTGCCCTAGGCTTTGGGTAGGACCTGAGGCTCCCCCTACCTGCCCCCAGAAAGGTCTCACCTGGCTGAAAAGGCTCACCAGCAGGGCTCCTCCTCCTCTTGGCTATACAGTGTCCCCTCCCAGCAAAACTGGGCTGGGCCTTTGCTCCAGGGCTCCCACTAAAGCATAAATCTGAGTCGTCTTCCTCTGAATCTGTGGAGGTACAAGACAAGGCCTCTTGGGTGGTTACATCCTATCTCCTACCCCTGACCCAAAAGGAGCCCCTTGCCAGGCCTGGGCATCCCCGAGACCGAGGGGCCAAGGCAGAATCATGACATATGGGACAGCCCAGAGATCTCAGGAAGACTTCAGGACCTTGTAGGTGACCAGGGACCAAAAAAGTTGTCTATGACTCAGAAGGTGGCTAGATCTACCTAATAAATAGGGAAGGGCCCTAGAGGCGAGCAAATGACCTACCTGTATTGGGTGTGGTCCAAGAACGGCACTGAGGAGACACAAATCAACAACGACCCATCCATCCATTTGTCCACCAGTCCATTTATTAACAAATATCTGAGTGTATACATGCAATGATTTCCACTGCAGCACTGTTTTGTGGTGAAGCATGCACAAGTAATAAAACACCCTGGAAACTGTGTGTGTGTGTGTGTGTGTGTGTGTGTGTGTGTGTGTGTGTCTATCATGAGAGGTCTGGTTGACTGAAGTGTAGCACATTGCACCGCATAAAGAGCTGGCCCATCTATCCAATAGCAAGTCAGAAGCTGTTAAAACAATTGCATGAAATCTGTAGCTTTCGACTTGCAGGAGGTCTAGGATACATTACAAGCAAGTTTCAGAGAAATGTATATAGGAGGATCTCCTCCCTTTTTCTGAAAACCAAGCTAACAATCCTGCCCCCTCTCCAATTTTTTGGAAAACCTACGTGTGTTATTAAATAGGAGCATGAGCTTGTGAACACGGCTTGTCTCGAGAAGGTGAGGTCGAGGAGAAAGGAGAGGAGATGGGGGAGATTCTTTCTCTTCCTGTACTTGTAAGATGTTTCGCTGGTTGCAGAAAAGTAAAGGAGGCTGAAGAGAGCCCTCCACAGTTCCAGCAGGTGCACTTGTTTGAGGTCAGGGAATTCAAAGGTAGCTTTGGATTTAACACCTCGCTCCGAGGACCACCACGAGGGTGGGCAGGACCCTCAATAGGCACATTTCGGCCTTAAATCCATCTCTTTGGAGGTTTCTCTTCTTCCTTCTGCAAAGTCCTTTCCAATCACAAAGGAAACGTCCTCAGCAGAGCACCTTCCGCTTGAAGGGCACCATGTGGCTTCATCCTCTCTCTTAATGTCATGGTCCAGGATTAGTGTTGTCCCCACTGGCCAGCTTCTGCAGGGCTCAGCCACCCACAACATTTTCTTGCCTCAACGGCCATCTTGCCAGGCGGTTCCCTTCTCCTCCCCTTGCTCCCCTGTCTACTTGAGAAGGCACGTCCTCACGGGCCACGTGGCACTCCCTGCTCAAACCGTCTGCCTTCTGGGCCCTGGCACTGCCCTGCTGAGCCAGGCCGGAGGGGGGGGGGGGGGGGGGGGGGGAAAGGAGGAATCAGAGCCAGTCCTGTCTGCTTTTCACACTGGATGCCAGGCCAAACGAGCTCCAATAACAAGATCCACAGCAGAATAGAAGAGCACAGGCCAGGGTGTCCTGAGAACAGGTCCCTCAATTCTTGGCAGGCCCAGACCATGGCACAAGGACAGGACCGACGCAGTAACTCTAAGAGTTCCAAGAAGACTGGGACCCTGAGGGAAGACTGCTCGCCCCACATTCCGGTCATTGCAAATGACCAAAGGCCTTATTGCAAGGGGCCGTGTGAGATGTCGGAGAAAGTCTGAGGACAGGGAAGGCTGTGGATGGTTTTAGAGCAGGGCCTTCAAGGAGAATGGAGTGCTGGAGATTAGTGCCCTAGACCTTAGGTAAGGTGTCTCCTCGGAGGAGCCATCCAAAGCCATGCCTATACGTCCTCCTACCATGATGAAAAGCAAACACTGACTGGATAATTTCTCAGCCTATAAGCACCTACTATGTGCCACGTGTGTACATGTACTGGATGCCCTACCCTCGACATGCTCTCTCCACAGCCCCAAATGGAAGGGGCCCTTATTATCTCCATTCTGTCGATGAGGAACCCAAGGCTGAGAGGACTTGCCCCAAGTCACAGAGCTGGTAGGCAGCAGAGGCAGGAGGTGACGCCAGATAACCGGCACTCGTAAGTACTTCACAGGTGTGTGACCTGGGCACGTCGCTTCTCTCCCCAAGCCTCAGTTTCCTCAATTGTACCATAAGGATTACTTCGCAGGGTTATTCTGAGGATTAAATGAAATTATGCACATCAGTGTTTACCACAAGCCTTTGCACAGGGTAGAGAAAAGGTTAGCAATTATGATGAACTATTCAGGGGCAAGGCTAAAATCTGAGCCCACGTTTCCTCGACTCGAGAGAGACGGCATTTCTAGCCACACAGACAAGTGCTCTGACTCCCACCAGCCACCAGCCCGCTGCCTGACGTTTCGTCCCTCAGGGAGGGCTGCGGTCCGTCCTGGGAATATGAGAATGTAAATAGACATTTTCTGGAAGCTCTTGCCAGGAACTCCCAATAATTACACCGTTACCAGCACCCCACATCTGAGCTCCTGGGGAGGGTTTGGGGGTGAACTGCTTCCCGGGTCTCAATGCCGTCTGACCAGAGCTGGCAGCCGATCAGTACCCTCCCTCCTCAGCGGGCCAAAGGTCATGGAATTCTGGAGCAGGAGGCGGGAGGGCAAGAGTTCCCTAGGAAGAGGCCCCCTGGAGAAGGGAGTGCCCAGGGAGCCAGGACACCTGAGGAGCAGAGGGTGACCCCTGCCACCGGCCCCCAACTTCCCTCATGGCCAGCTTCACCCCGCCTTCTGTAACTCTCGGTGACATACTGAGCTCAGGGCAAAGTGTCAGCCTCCGTGATCTGGCGTCCCAGAGAATCCAGATCCTCCCCGAGGTACAGTCCGGGCAGAAAGCAGCGTGAGTGGTCCCTGGGCACCTAATAAAGGCTTAGGGCTGCCATGTCCCATCGTCTAAGTTGTTTACTGCACAAAAGCACCCAGCTGAGGGAGCAGCAGGGGCTGAAATCTTCCCCCAGCCTTGTGCCCTGGCTATACCCGCAGGAGAGGGCCCCTTTCCCTACTTCATCTGCCCATAGGGGCCACCTATTTCTGATTTGTACCAAAGACCTGCTGGGCTAGCAGCGGCCCTGAGGGGACACAGGTGTGCACACGCACATACTGCTTCCAAACTTGGGGACTCACTCTTGGCCTCTAGGTCGAGAAACCAAACTACTCGATTAATCCTTTTCCCCTACAGGCGACTGCTCGTCTCAGCCAGCCCAGCAGTTAAAGCCCAAGAAGGAAACTGGTCTCTGCGGTTGCTTCGGGACCCCCTACCAGGCTCCAGGATCAGGGTCCCTGCAGAGCAGCTCACCTTGGCTAAGTAAGAAGCGTAGCCAGACGATCAGCAAGACCAACAGCAAGCCCACGGGCAGGCAGAGCCAGAACACCAGGAAAGAAAACGTGAGGTCGTCCACCAGTGGCACCAGCGGGTACTTCATGGTGCGCGTGTGGCTAAGCCGGGCCTGCCTGTGCCGGGCTGGCAGGGCTGCCCTGGGGACCTGGGGGGCCGGGCCACACTCTGCTCTCAGCCCAACTGTGACTGAGTGGGTGACGTAACAAGGAAGTCACAACGTCCTTCAGACACACGGAGAGCTTGGCAGTCAGTGGCAGTGGAGACAGTCTGGCTAAGAACAAAAGCCCAGGCTTCCAGGCAGGCCGACTTGGGTTTGAATTCCTGCTGAGATCCTAGGGGTTCATGGGACACCTCCTTGCATCCTCTTAGAAGATGGAGACAATTCTCATCTCACCAAGCTGCTAAAAATCAGAATAAACGATGGGATGAGCATCGCCCTCGGGTGGGTGTTCATGTATTTTGAGGTCACAGGTTCCTTCAGGAGCCAGCCAGATCCCAGGCCCTGTCATCCGGGCTACAGGTGCCCACATCTGCACCTGCTGCCAGTGGGGGGGTGGGGTTGGGGGTGGCAGACTGGGTGGAACGTGGTGCATCTAAAGCAGGCAGCTGTCACAGCTTCAGGCAGTTAAGTGCTGTGTGGGAAAGGCAGGTCCAGTATTGCCACATCTATTCCAAGAGAGCCCCCCAAATCTGCATTTTTATGTGAACTCTCCCAACTTAAAAATGTTGCATCAAGCATTTAAAACACGGTTGGCTAAACCAAACAAGTCTGCCGAGCCAGCCTGGGTCACTGGGCTGCCATTTAAAAACATTCTAACACACAATAGGTCCTCAATAAATGACTAATCTAGAAGCTTCTGCACCTCTCATTAGAGTTTTCAGTGAGGGGCTTCTAAGGCGTCGGCCTTGCTTCTTTGTGTCCCAGGTGCACAGATGACTCTCAGAAGTCATTCTTCTCTCTTCCCACCTCTTCTGTCATTCATTCATTCGGGAAGTAGTTCGTACACCTCCCTGTGCAAAGCCCTGTGGCAGGAAGGAGGCTCTGGACCTCCAGGGCCCCAAATCCCGGCACTGGAGTGAGACTGGCCAGACGGGGTGCCTGACGAGTATGGGAAGCTCACAGGCAGAATGGCTGCTGCCTGTGGAGGGGAGGGAGGCACAAGCATTGCCCTGTCCAAGAGGGTCCTGGGCCAGCTGCCCCAGTTACTACGGGCAAGTGCCCGTGAAACACACCAATTCCTACGCTCCCCTTGCTCTGAGTCAGAAACTCCAGGTGAGGCCCAGGACGCAACATGTTCAGGAGCAACCAGTCTGATGCGGCCCAGATTTTGGCATCACAGCAACTCACGGAGCACGGGTTGGAAGGTCAGGCAGACCCAGTTCCAGGCTGGGAGAGCAGATGCGAGAAGTGGGTGGTAGACCTGGGGGAGATACGGGGCGGAAGGATGCCCCTAAGAGGAAGGAAGACACCGGCTCAGGGAGAAAGGCAAGCGGAGCCAGCCACAGAAAAATAGGGAACGGGTGGCAAGGCAGGGCAGGGGACGGGAGAGCTGGAGCTCGGAAGCCAGTGGCTGAGAGACCGTTTTAGCCCAGTGTGGGGATGACTGGAGTCCCCAGGGGAGGAGGCCTGGGTGGATGGCATTAGAATGTGTGTCTAAGAAAAACAGTGCCTTGGCAGGCTGTGCCACTCAGAGTCCAGAGGCCAAGACCAGGAGTGGTCTGGGTTGAGGTTGGGGGTCGGGGGGGAATCTCTTGGCACTGGGTCCTGAAGGGACTGGGGTCACAAAGGGCTGAGCGGCACTGGTGGGAAAGGCTTGAATACACATTTTCTTGCCAGAGCCCAAAATAGGACCACTGTGCCATCAGCCCAAGGAGACACTTCCCTGGCCACCAAGGACCAGCCGGAGTCCTGAGGGCAGAGCAAGCATGGGCACACAACTGCAGGGAAGGCAGCTCCCAGCCCTGGCTTCCAGGAACAGTTTGGGGGGGGGGGGGG